ACCCTGGAACGTTGCCTCTGCGGTCCTAGGCTTTGTCCCTGGGCTGACAGCAAAGTCCTGCGCGCCTCACGGAGGACGGCTCGGCTCCATCTCCAGAGGACCTCGGAGCCGTAGCTTGCCCTCCCCCAGTCTGAGCTCCTTCTCGCTGGAGCAGGAGACACTGAAGATGCTGAAACTGCCCCCAGTCCTGTGGACCATATTGTTAATTCGTCGTCTGCGCCTTGCCCATTGTCACTCCTTGCTCAGTGCTGGCCAAACTCGTCTGTTGGATTTTAACCTCCCATGCCGAGAGCGGGGCCGCCCAGTGCTGACCTCTGGCATGGCCACCGCTGCACAGCGGGGCCCATGTCCCAGGAGGGACTTCGGCTCCCCAGGTTACTCACTCGTCACCTTTCAGGTGTCAGCTCCTTCTCTCCCCGTGTGTCTGCTTTGGTACGATGGTCTGTCTTGGTCTTGCCAGGACGTCCTCTTGAGAATGCTGGCTCTCATTCGAGTCGCTGCCCAGCGGCCGGGTTCTGTCACCGTGCTGGGACTGGTCCTCCAGGATGCCAGCACACCGCCGTGGCCACTTCACCAGCCCGTTGCTCCCGGCCCATAGCTTTGCCTCCCGATGATCGCAGGGCCCCGAGAACACCCCCAGCACCATCGCCAAACCCCAGATAAGGGCTGCGTCCTAAGTGAGACCGAGGTCGCCTTGTCCGCTGGACGTCGCCCTTGGTTCCTGGTCGGGCTCGGGAGCTGGGCAGACTCCGTGCCCCCTCTGCTCTCGGCAGCGGGCCTGGCCGGGGCCAGCTTCGTTCTTCTTGGAGCCCGTGTGCTCCTTTGGGTGATGGTAGGTGACATTCGAAACTGTATGCTTTGAAATGGAGAAGGAGAGGCTCGAGGGCAGGAGGAGAGGGCCTTCTCACCCAGGTTTCTCCCGTGCTTGAAAGGTCGCCATGTCAGGAAACCATGAGACCCGTTAGGGCTCAGAACCAGGACTCAAGCGAGGGTGAGCCCGCTGCTCCCGAGCTGGGCCCAGCAGTGCTCCCCGGGGGGCGGGGCCTCCGGGAGCCCGTCACTGTGGAAGGCCAGCCGCGCAGGCGGCATCGGCAGCTCTCCGTTTGGCGTCCATTGCAATGCGAGCGAATGGCTGTATTTACTTGGGCGGTATTTGCATGAGTGATACGTGGCCGTGGTGACATGCCAATCATGAGCGACTTGTAACCCTACCCATTCCTCCGTCTGCGGGGACTGCAAGCAAGAATGGCTTTACTATAGCAATGTCCTCGATTTCTCAAAATTAATTCTGATGTTTTTAAATCGATTCGCTCCATCGGTGAATAAATATTGAGTGATTATTGTATGTTAGGCACTATGATTCATCAGTGCTCAGTACTGATAACTGTCATGTTGAGCCAAGTCCTTTTGACATTCCCCTCATAAACTGGGTGTCGTAGACTTTGTAGAGAGGGTTCGAGTATAGATCGCCTTTTAGTTTCTTCGCAATATGGGACTCGTGAACTGAGCTTCATGATTCTCGTCTCATATTGAGCAGATATCTCGTCTCCAGTCTGGTTTTTAAACGTCAGACATGAGTTTGGAGTTGGGTTGCGCGAGTCTGTGCTAGTAGGTCCTTGTATTTAATCTCAAAATAGCAGAGACATCACCGCTGCTTCTCCAGAACGGACTGGACG